CCATACTCTACGAAAAAAATGGGTATATTTGCACTTGAATAAGCTCTCATTGGCCTACTGTAGAAAATGAACAGCTACCGTATACGTAAAGTTTTCTTTTGTGGAGTTAAGAAAGAGACAGGTATGTGAGGTCGGGTTACCTGACAGGAAGTTTGAATATGTCCACTCTTTCCCATTATTGATCGCCCTTTGGAAAAAAAATCAATGAATCAATACGATTGTTTCGTCGACTTTGTCGAGAGTTTCATTTTTCGCGACACTCCAGGCGGGTAAACAATCGCGCGCCGAGAGATGATGGTTGGAGTGAGCACGGCAAAGCTGCGTAGATCATTGAATAGCTGGGACGATGGGAAATCACGCAGGTTACGGGTTGAGCCAAAAAGTGCTGGACCATGTCTGGGGCTGGTCAGGGCGATTCATGGGTTCATATGGCCCTTTCATGGACGTCAAGCCTTCAATTGGTGAGTCAAATGAGTCAGACTCTTCCATTTTGCTCTTAAAAAGAGTGGATCTGTGTGTCACAGCATCCACTCCCCCCCCCCCCAAATATCTATTGCTCTCGGTGTGGATGAACTCTTCTCACGCTGGAAATAGCTCCCTCAGAACCCTAGTATTCTTAGAAGAGCACGGCTCCCTCAGAACCCTACTGCTCCAGAATCCTACTACTCCTGGAACAGTTAAGTATTTTTCCGAACTTTTCTGGGGTTTTTGAAATATTTGGAGGTCCACGGCATGGGAATCCAGGCTCCTTGCAATGTGGAACCTTAGCATTCCCCTAGGACGTCCACGGGATGGTTTCGGAAGTTTCAAGAGCTTCAAGATATTGTATGCAGGCACGTCCTACGTTGGGTGCCGCAGCGAGGGAGATCGTATTTGGGCGTTCGTGGTAGGGACTCGTACGGAGGGTAGACTTTTCAGGGGGAGGCGTCGTTTTCCGCAAAATTTTCCCTCAACGACAGGACCTGCCCTGATTGTATGAAGAGCAGGAGGGCCGTGCTGTCATTGTACCTCGTAGGTGAAGCAGCTCGGGTACCGTCATTGGTCCAATTGATTCAAGAGCCTGAAGAATTTGCCACCTCCCAGAGTTGATAAGCCCTGGAAAGGTTCTACTACTCCACGGAGACTTGTCCCTGAGTACGTTCTGGCCCGCATTCACTTTCTCAAGCACCACTTGCCCTTTGGGAAGTGTAACTTCCCAAGTGCCCCACTGATTTACAAAGTAGGGCGCGAAAGTGCGCATGGACCCACTGCATTTTTCCTAGGATCCCTCTCTGCCAGAAAACCTCCCCGTATCATCTAATCCAGCGCCCGTTATTCGGTAACAGGCCAGGTAACCACTTTAGGCCAGGTAACCTTCCCATATAACCTAACCGAGGGCATCAGTTGGCAGCAGGTCTATATGAGGGGCTAACAGCTAGCAAGACGGAGCACTGGAGGCCGAGGCCCATCACTGAAGCCTTCACTATTCTGAATGCGAGTCTAGGACATGGCCCACCTTGGAGGAGCCGTTCTTTCTATCTCTTCAGCTTTTTTTCGCCAACCTCTTTCATCTACGTCGCGTTTTTAATTGCGCAACTATGCGCCGAGGAATCTCAGTAAACATAGCGCGTAGCTTCCTCCCTGGTTATCTCAGATCCTCGTAGTCCTTGACCCCTGTAACCGTCCCGAACATTGTCGGTGTATGCACGTAGGCTTCAGCTCTACTCAATCGGGCCTCTCTAAGTGAACCGCCAGCTCTCAGCGAAATCTCGCGCCTGTACGTGACAAGTTCCCCTCAGTAGAAGTGGCGTTCCCCCCTCTCATAAACACACCAACACGTGACAAGAGTTCATTCCATCGGCGGCGCATCGTCGCTCTCTTTTCCCATGGTAATTACCCACACACATATCTAGAGGAACTCACTAATAGGCTTACTATAAGAAATATGAGAAAAAGAACTTGGACGCATATCTAAATGAACGCACTCGGAAGTGCAATCTCGTAGCTTTGGAGCTCCCATGGGAATCTGTTCCTGGAAGACATCAAGTTCATTTGGGGAGCATATCGCATACTAGTAGTGAGGCTCTGAATGGTCGGGATGGGATGGGATTGGACTGAGATACTGATGAAGGATGAGAGAGAGCCTGAAAGGACTCATTTCGTTGTGGGACCGTGAGGTTCCTTGGCTGGAGACGGAAGTTTACCTTGTTCTCGATCAGAAGAACCAGTCTACTTTAGATAAGGGGGGAAGCGTATCCATTGAAGTTATATCGGCGAGTTTGGCTCGGTGGGGGCAACAAGTGGTAAGTGAACTAACAAAAGTAGCGCCCCATATCCACTGACTTCTTGGTAGAAAAGACGAGCGAAGGTTCCATATCCGCGAATTTCCTTGGTTGGTGCGGGTGTGGGGTGTGGTGTGGGTACGGGTTCTTCGCTTGGGATGGATATGGGTCCTTAAGGTTCGTGTGGGTATGGGTTTTTTGATTATAAGGCGTTCTACTTCCAAGTATTTAGTCACAGTTCCCACTTGTAACCCTGAAACCTTCGATGGTCCTCGAACCAACCCAGGACATTTTTCCTAGCGTTTAGCCGAGCAGCTCGATTACCTAGGTATACCACGAAGGGGGTGGGGTAGTGAATTTGCATGCTTTTAGTCAGGTCATTAGAAGATGGGTGCAAGTGGTGTGGCGGCAAAAGGCTGAACATGGGCTCAGTCTTGGCCCAGACCAGATAGCCCTTCTGTTCTGTTGGGGTTGAACTTGGTACCATTTTGCGGACCCATAGCCTCTTAGGTCATGGCATAGGAGATCTGGAAGCGGAGGGCGAGACAGACCACTGAAATCTATGCCGTCTGGCTTTCGTAAGCCAATCTGTGGGCTGAATCGCATACAGAATTCTCTGAGCTTCCGAATCGAGGCGAAATGCGTAATGCATTCTGAAAAAGATCGATCAACACCGAGAGATCCAAGCTTTTCATCCTTTGACAGAGGTTCTCCCATCCCCCCCCCTCTCCCGTTTAGTAGCCTTTACCACACTGGCTACAAGCCTGAAGGGTCTGAGCAGCATGTTGGTACGTTTTCGGGCCAGGTTGATAGAAAGCATTGGCCGGCCATGGATTGGGAGATTTATGGGTCGCAGTCCAGATGTTCATGTGAGCCTCTCATAGCGCACTTCACGGCTTGGTATTGCAAGGAAACTTCCAAGGAGATAGGGACAGGGAGGCCGGGCCATTAGTCCAGGAACGTTTTTTCCCTGGCGGCTGCAGACATGCAGGAAATTTGACACCAGTACAGTATACCATACATATTTAGTTACATATGTCCACTGGATAATGGCGATTCCGCATGCAATAGTTCGTTTGGGGGATGTGCCCTTCCGGATTTTCTCCTGCCATACGATACTATACCTATAGATGACGTCAGATATAGTGTGTATTCCGTAATGTGCTACCGGGCAGTAGATTTTTCTGGGAGGTCACATGTGGTTTGTAGTGTATGATGGACGACTCGGTCGGTGGTTGTGTGTGTGTGTGTGTCAGATTCTTGGTATAGATGTGGGCAGATCTAAGAGGCTCGAGCTGGCTGGCAATTCGCAGCCGCTATCGGCCGCTACGATGTTGTAAAGCGCAGGCGGCAATCTTACACTTCACATTTGGCCTCAAAAACAGCCCCCTACACATACGCTCTCATTCCCAGCTCACGCATCTCAAACTACTTGCTGAGAACGACACAGCAGCAAAGAAGACCTCGTAATGGCGAAACTATAGACGCTGATGGTTTTTCGGTTGAAAAGACGGGACAAAAAATGCACCAGATGTTTCCTATAAAGTACGCCCGGTCAGATGAGGGAGAATGAAGAGCTTAGGGCTTCTACAGCAGAAGCCTCAGCTTTCTATCTTTCTACTACCTCGCCTTCAGCTCACAGGAAGCCTTTGAAGCGTATAGAGAAAGCCTAAAGTTCTAAGCGCTCTCGTTCTTATTTTAGAGCGCGCCACGCACTCTACTTCCATTCAAAGTCTAAGGGCCTCTTGAATGTGGTTTCCTATACAGGCAAGGCTCGTTCGTCTTGGAAGGGGTCACTTGCTTTACTGCTTGAATTACGGGGTGACACTCACGTTCAGTCAGTTTAGTTCACGTTTCATAAGAGAATCCCCTTTGGTGGCACCTACACACTCCTGTGAAGTTACGAAATGGAATAGGTGACCCACTGGGGTGACGGGAATTCGCAGGTCTTCACAAGGTGCCTGAATTAGGCCTTGCTAAGATCAATCTGATGCCCACACTGAGCCGAAATGCCTCACAATGTTTTTCGGGGATAATCCGATGTGTGAGACAGTGTATTTGGTCTTCTATTATGGGTATGGTAGCAATTTATGGTGCTCCGGAGGAACGGAACCCATTTTTGAGACGGTTTGTTGCATCCATTAGAGGTTCATGAGGAGACCACAAAAGTGTACTTCATTTCCGGTGCTCCCTTTCGAGAAGGCCAAAGAAAGGGTGAAGAGTAGGGTGATGGTTCGAATCCGCTATATGACAGAATTTTGCACCCCTGAACTTTTTATTTTCTGTGTTCCTTTAAGCCGTAGTCGTCTTTTTGAACAGAACCGCCCGAAAACACCCGAATCTTTTTCCAAGAAACGGAGAGTTTCCTATCCCCTTAGAACTCCTGGAACCTTTCCGTCTCACTCTGGTATTCCCAGAAATGCGCAAAAAAGGAACACAGTTTTGAAGCCCTCACAGGTACCTCTACAGTAAATAACAAACCGTTTTGAAAGCTCAGTGACCAAGCGTAGCACATGGGTTCTAAAGGCCCATGAGCTGTGCTGGTTCGGCGAAGTGGGTGTTACCAAACGAAATCTCCGAACCAAATGTCCCGAGAATTCAATATTTCTCCCATTGTGACCCCCTCTTTACCTGATTGAGCCCTATATTTCTTTCTAGACATCTCTCTTATCTCTGCAATCCTCTTAGTTAGTCCTCCTAGCCAGATTTGTTCGTCTATGTAATCCGATTTCTTTTCAGCACGTCGCCGAGAAGGCTGCTGAGCGATTTGAGGCGCAAACGATCGAACTTTCCAATAAGGTACGGCACCACTATAGTACAGTAATCATCTACAGTATTCAAGTGTTCTTTTTATAGGTTGAGGACCTCAACAGACACGTAAATGATCTCGCCCAGCAGCGCCAACGCCTTCAGGCTGAGAACAACGATCTCCTCAAGGCAAGCCTGAATTTCATATAAAAAATTGTTTTCGTATATTTTTGGAAGCATTTCCTTGTTTAGGGCGTAGATTGTACTGACTGTATCGGTATAGATTGATATTTTCTTCATGAGGGCTCCTTGAAACGTTCCTCGCGCTGGAAAAAGGCCAAATTCAATCCACAAATATTTTTGACCCAAACGGCGCCAACACCTCCACTTCAAACTGCGCCTCAGAACAAACAAACGATTTCTGATTACTTGGGGACTCCACTTTAGATTATTTGCCCTTTTCAAAGTTTTTGTACATTCTTGCGTTCCTGCGTTCATTTGCTCGCCTGTGGTCCTGCGTAAGCGTCGCGTTATCAAAGGGATCACTGTCGTGGTTTGCGACCAATACGCTGAAACCGACCGGTGAAACTTTTCCGGTGAGCCCGGTTCTGCGAATGACGCGATCACGACCCACGCACAGACAAACAACCATACGCGCAAGGCACTTGTAAGAACCTGGCCACCATCCTGGCCATGCGTAATTCACTAAACACACGCTACACACAAATTGCTTATCGATCTGGGAGTGGGAGAGATAACTTGAAGATTGTTTTCAGGAGGTTCACGATCAGAAGGTGCAGCTCGACAACCTGCAGCATGTCAAGTACACTCTTGCCCAACAGCTTGAGGAAGCCAGACGCCGTTTGGAGGATGCCGAGCGGGTAAGTGGGGAATTCATTTGGTTTTCAGGTCTTGCCATTCAGCACCTACTGCAGGCCAATAAGGGCTATATTTAGCCATCTTGGGGCTCTGGGTCTTGCTGGGCCACCTCCTGCTCCTGCCGTCGTCGAGATAGTTTGGGCGTCACTTGAGATACCTACACTACGACAAACGCGAAAAAAAACTAGCTAGTTGTCTTGTTATACAGTAGCACCTTTATGAAATCGATCGCATCTCGCCGCGTTGTCGCAACATGGATCTCCTGGGCGACTGCTTAAGTGGCCCGGTTACTTTACCTGAGCTGACTACATTTCCAGAAGGTTGGCAGGAATCTGAACTCTGTTGGTATCCCCACAGTGACCTCAGTGGGATCTCTGAGAACGAGCTCCTACCTCCCTCCAAGGCTGATTGGAGCAAAGTACAAATCACATATCCCACTAGCCACTCATAGCATTTATACGGCTCCCTTACGTCATCAAAAGGACCATGGGAGCCCATGAGGGATTAGAGGATTCCCATGAGGTTGATTGTTTTCCCAGATTCTCCTGGGAAAGCCAATTCTTCCTTCACAAACACTCGCCCACGCCCAACTTACTGACGTAATCGTAGAAGTT